GCACTCGCCCCGCTCCCTGCCGACGCCGCAAAGCTGCCTGCACCCGCTCTCCTCTCCCCCTGACCCTCTTGTTGTGTGTTCCCCCCACAGAGTGCGATTGCCATCCCGTGGGCGCCGCCGGCCAAACCTGTAACCAAACCACGGGCCAATGTCCCTGTAAAGACGGTGTCACCGGCATCACGTGCAATCGATGTGCCAAAGGCTACCAGCAAAGCCGGTCTCCCATTGCCCCCTGCATAAGTAGGTGGATCGCTCTTTCGATGTCTGTAGATTAGAGATATTAACTTTTATAAACCTGCAGGAGCTACTGCCCAGGCTGGGGGGCTACTAACCCCACCACACACGTGCCGACGGGCAGTGCTCAGGGGACGGAGCTGCCTGGGTACCCCTGCCAGCCGCACTGCCCACAGTAGGGCATATAGTCCAAAATTCACCCCTAGCTTCCAAGTAGCTCGTCTGCCTTGTTGGGTGGGTTGTGTGAGTGCATCTACAGCCCAATTTGCCGGTAATTTGATTTTGCTTCACAGAGCAAAGGTGCCCCAAGAGCACGTTTGCTTTGGGGTACCACATCAGGTCTGGTTGCTAAGGCAGATCGCTACAGACAGGTTTTTCCTGTCCAAAATCAGGCTGTGCTGCACCAGTACAGAGCTCAAATCAGAGGAGCTGCTGGTTTGATGGAGTTGCCATCAGACTAACACAGCCGATAGCACCTGGATTGCTAAAGGGGGTCTTACACTCACACAACTCACCCAGAAACACGGGCTGTTTTACCATTTGCTTCCTTAGGTTTGCTTTTTAGTTTGCCTTCCCAAGGCTGCTTTCATCCTCTGCTTTTAAAACAACAGCAGCAAGCACCAGGTACAGCTCCCAAAGTCTCTCTGTTGCAGCATTTGCTCTGAAAACATCCACATCCGCGCTCAGTCCCCGTCGAGCGCTCGCTGCCCAGGCAAGGTGTGCTTTAGCCCAGTGCTTCTTTCTGCTGCCTGTTGTTTTGCTGCTGTTGGATCATTCCGTAGCTCATGCACCTTGCGAGAGACATATACACCTGCCCTAACAAAACGAAGCGTCAAAATTACGGTGCCTGGCACAGGCTGGAAAGGAGGGGCTGCTCCCCTCAAGACTGACTCCCTGCTCCTAAAAGGGGAAAAAAGTCCCAATGGGAAAAGAAAAGTGAAGGTTGAAAGAATCAAGTCTTTGTTGGGAACCCACAGTCTGCTCCCGCACCGTCCCCTCACAGCATCTGCCCCTCAGGATGGCCATTGCCAAATTATGGGGCAGATGATCCCCTTTCTCCACCTTCTCTTGCTGAAGAAAACATACATTCCAGGGTGGTTTTTGGTCACTTGAGATTCATTCTTCCCCGTGTCGCAATGGGACGGCAAGAGCTCAAACCAGATGCTTGTTTCCCCAAGATGCTACAGTCATGGCTCCGGTATGCTTTGCAGCAAGTATGCGCAAAGGTTTATCATTAATCATTCCCCAGGGCCATGGTAAATCAGAGAGTAAATTGTTCCTTGCATCACTTCCCTTGGGATTTATTGCACTAAATAAAGACAGACACAGAATTTCAACACGATCCAACCAGGCATTTGGAGCCGGGCTGTGCTCACGCCAGCTGCCTAACCAGCGTGCTCAAGGCTGCCCGCTGGCATGAGCCTGGCAGGGCTGTCCTGCCCTGGCCCTGCAACCCAGCCACCATCCTGGCACTCGTGAGAGCCCCTTACTTGCGTGTCACTGCAAAACATCCTTTCTAAGGGGCCAAAAATTTTAGTTGAAATGTTTCTCAAGCAACGCTCTGTTCTGGCTACCAAGCCGCTGTGCAGTTGTTGGGAGTTTGATCTGCATGTACAATGCTAAAGCAATTAAAATGAGGATATGAGCAGCTCACAATTCTCTCATCCTAAAAAAACCCAAATCAGCACATTTTCATCCTTGAAAAATGTCAGTCAGCATATCCTTCTTGGGGGGATGTATTTCACCCATATTTCATACATGCGTAGTGGAGGACACTTGCTCTCCATCCCTACCTGCCCTCCTCTTCCATCTGGCACTGGGTACACTGCACCTAGCAAGGGTCTGTCCACGTTGTCTGCGAGAGCACAGTTACTCTCTGATTTACCACTGCTTAAGTCCCGAAGACTTATAGCCATGCAAAAATCACCTCGTGGGGAATAAACAAGACACCAGTGGGGTCTGTCTGCATAGCAGCCCACGCAGGCAGGCACGAGCACCCATCCAGCCACCAGCTTTGGGATGGCTGTGCTGGCTGTTCATGTACTGCCTGATTATGCACCATGTGTGTCACATGGGCTTCTGCCTGTGTTTAATTGCATGAGCGTGAACAACTCAAAAAGTCATCTAATGCTAATTGGGCTGCACCCCTACAAGCTGCCGTCACTGCAATGCAGGCAGACCCAAGCAAACCCTGCCTCTGTGGCCAGGCAGGTTCCCAGGAGCAAACGCAGAAGGAGGCAGATGTCAAACCCCGGCTGGTGCCTAAATTCCTCTTTCAAAATGAACTGGTAGGGTGTTCCCCTGCCAGGATTCCCAGGGATGCACAGAAATTACAGCACTGTGCCCTAAATGCGCATAAGATGTCAGTCATGAGAGCTGCGTATGTGCACTGGGGAAAAGAGATCGTCTTGCCAAAGTTGGGGCCATATAATGCGTTCCATCAACAGGCCATCCTTTTTAACATCAACAAACACAGTCAGACTTGGGCATGAAGATCCAGAACATTATGTGGTTTCAGCTATGCAAATTCAACCCCAAATCAAAACCAGGAACCATTGCATTGGCACCAGATATGTTTGTGTTTTGTTTAAATGTGTGAGATAATACTTGCATCCCAATAGATAGATGCAATACTTTACCCGCATCCTATCTCACACGAGAGGAGTGGTAGCACTGCCTCAGGCATGGATGGAAACAGCAGCTGGAAGGGACAATCCAGGGACAGGGAGAGGCAGCAATGCTCCCATTGCCTGCTGGGGCTGGGCACCGCACAGCAGGCAGCCACACCACCCTGCCTGGCTTATGCACCCTCTGAGCCCCTGCAAGAGCACCCCTCACCCTGGGGTACAAACTGGGACCTAGCATGTGCAGCAGGCTGTGCCGGGGCACCAGAGCAGTTGCTGGCTGTGGCACCATATCAATTACCTGGCTGGTTGATCTTTTATTTTTAGCCACAAGCCAAAAATTTTGGTTTAAAAAATCCTTTCCCACACCCTCTTGGGAGGCCCAGCTCCCCAGAGGGTATGGTCCTGGTGTGCTGGTTCCTGGGGCTCTTGCAAGGCTCCTTGCTGGAGGACATGGTTGGGAAACACCCCTTGCTGGTAGACATGGTTGGAAAGGGCAAACACGGTGTGTGCAGGGGACAGGCTCTTTGGGATCTGGAATAATGCCTCCCTCTTTTACCTCCTCTCCTTTCCTGCATGCTTCTCGCTGTCCTGCAGAGATCCCTGCCGCTCCCCCCACCACTGCCGCCAGCAGCACAGAGGAACCTGCAGGTATGTTGTCTCTTCTTTTAAAGCATCTTGATGGTAAATGTCTTTTGAGCAATCGTCTGCCTGACATGAAATTGTATTAAATTAATACATAAATTCTGTTGTTTGTACTAGGACAAGTGGTTTCCTTTTATGCCCAAAATGTCCGAGTGTTTGAAACAAGTGTGGAGCATGCTGAGAGATGGGTGTTTCT